TGAAATCAAGCACCGTGCATATCAGCTGAGCCGGTAACACCCAGAGCTGCTGATTATGATCGCGCCAAAACGTCACATAATTTTGAGGCACCTAGCAAAGGCCAAACGTCTTCAATAGGCCTGGAAGAATACACAGACATTCGGTTAGCAGCGCCACAATTATACTAAAATACTTGCAACAGCAATTATCGCGTAACAAAAGCGCATCATACAATCAATCTACCTATCTAATTAATAAACGGGCAGGGGCGAGGGTTGAGACCACTGGGCTCAGCCGACAAAGTCAACTCGTAATCCAGTAAGCTCGTCCAGTTCTGACGCTAAAGCTGCGTTCCAGCGTGAGCGTGAATTCATCAAGCACTGCTATAGGAGACCTAATTAGTGCGCGGGCTCGCCCGCACACTCGCAGTTTTCAGGCGATTGGAGTTTCAGCACGACTTATGACGTAGGTACTCACAACTGGCGCTGCCAATTTTGTATGCAGAGTCCAGGTTTTGTTCGTTATTAGATATGTGTGCGTGAGATACTAATGCCTTCAGATCAGTCATATCAAGAGACATATAAAAAAAAGACCACGCACACCTAGCCTGAAGCTAACTGAAAGCCATAATAACTATTCAAACGCAATACCGAATAACACGGTACTCGTCTCAGCTTCAAATTACTATTCAAACATAATGTAGCAATCAGCCACTGGCCAGCCGAGCCGTTTTAAAAACAATGCAACCCACGACCTACCTCTACATTACCACAAACGTTAGGGATACTGTTTGGACCCAACACGTACAAAGGCGGAAGAAATCACATGACTAACCTGTTTCCTGATAGACCCTGACCAGTGACCACGTCACTTCTCCCGGCGGCCGCCCACCGCCGCCGGCACCTCAACCACACACAGCCACGAGGAACTGCCACCACCGTACAGAGCACCAGGGGCGCTGACCAATGGCAGTCACCGCTCAACTGGCGGCCACCAATCAGCGATCGCTGCTCAAGGTCACAGCGGCCGCCGCCACCGACGAACGACGAACGACGGCGGCGACGCGACGGGGCGGAATGAGCGGAGGACTAGCGCGAGCGGGCCTCATGATGGAGCACAACGCAGGAGGGAGGGGCGGGGCGGGGTGCGGTATAAGTAGCAGCTGCGGTCTGACAGCAGATCTGTCAGCCAACTAGCGAGCCATCTAAAGCCAATTAGCCACTAATGGCTGCCACGCGTCTCACTGCGTGGCAGGTGACAATTGGTATAACTAGGTGTCAGGGCCTCCTCTAACATACCCACTGGGTGGGCAAATGCCCACCCAGTCACCACAATTGCCCACCCAGTGGCGTCGATTTGCCCACCCAGAAGCAAATGCAAAAATTCTGGTCCGGCCGGACGTCCGGTACTACCTTTCTGGTCTTAAGCAAACTGGAGGCTGTTTGAAGGTCAAAAAAAAGTTTTCTGGTTGCCCGATATTCAGGGGCGTAGTCAGAATTTCCTCAAGGAGGGGGCCAAACGCACAGGGGCCCAAAATAACCCCCTCAAAATCCAAAAAGCCATCTGGTTGGATCCAATATTTTTTTGGAGGGGGCCCAAATAAATAGAAAAATATTTATTAACAAAAAATATTAGAACTGAGGGGGTAAGCAGTCCATGGGCCCTGTTAGATAGGCCCACAAATAACTTCATAGAGTCGCCAGTCGGTTTTGAGGGCGGTCTGAGGGCCCGTAGGTCGGATGAGGGTTCTTCAGACCGTCACAAGCCCCTACAGCGCATGAGAGCCTCGTAAGCCGTCTGAGGGTCATATAAGCCGCCTAAGGGCCACTAAGACCGACAAAAGCCCTCCTTGCACTTGCTGAGGCCCAGTGATGCCGACGGAGGGCTCTCTCAGACAAACTAAGGACCCGTTCAGGGCAGTTGAGGGCTTCCTCAAACCGATAGGGGCCCCTCAGATCGACAGTGGATCCGATCCGAGCTCCCTCAAACCGATATAGGGTCAGACCAACAGTCGGAACGCATTGATTCTGTTTACACACCGTTGGACCCAAGTTGGACCCATCCCATCCAACTGGCCCCCTGGTTTCAATAGGGCCCCAAGGCTCTAAAATTGGGGCTCTCTTGGCCAAAGTATAACTACTCAGCTGTGTCAAAGGATCTGCCGCAGGGGCCTTTGCGTCGCCAAGGGCCCACTGTGTCAGCCAGGGCCCCTATAGAATAAGGACCCCTGGCTTCCAGGGGGGGGGGCATGGTCCCTTTGGCCCCCTCCTTGGCTATGCCACTGCAGGTGACAAGCGTTCTTCCAGGCGACCAGGGGGCAGGGGCCAGGCGACCAGGCCCCCAGGCGACTAGCCCCCAAGCGACCGGGGCCCTCTAGGCGACCAGGGGCCCCAGGAAACCGGGGGTCATCGGATGAGTGCAGGGGCCCATTGCGTCATCAGAGGGCCACAGAAATGAAACTTCGATATCAATTTTCTTCCGAGTAAAAGACGTTTTATCCAGTGTTTGAAAAAAAAAATATCCCGGGGCCTGAGGGGCTCCCCCATGGCGCGTTTTGCGCTCAAGGGAGGGGGTCATTGCCCCCGTGGCCCCTCCCCCTTGGCTACGCCCCTGCCGATATTGGTATTCATGGACAAAGCCAGCTAAATCTCTAAATACGGCTGAGCTAAACAAATAAGCAAGAATCATTACCGGTTCGGGTAGCCTTTACTACAATGTATTATGTTAGTTAGCCCTCGCCCGGTGAGGGGGGTTGATGCACCCCCCTAAGGTTTTTCACAAATAACGTAAAAACGTCGGCGCTCAAATTTAGCATACCCTCTGGGGCAACCTTTTGGCACTTGTCCTGAAAATTTCAGGTCTCTAGTCTTTTCAGGTCAGGTCACCAGGTCACAAACCCCGTACAAGGTCAGGGGAAAATTGGACTATGTAGTTTAGCGGCAACCGAATGCCAGAGTTTTTCGTTGATAGCGTGAGTTCTATAGCACGTAGCGCTACCAAATGTAACCCTCGCATGTGTAGGGGGGGTCGGATGGACCCCCCCATGGTTTTTCGCGAATAACTCGCGTAAAAAGCGGCCGATCGCGATGAAACTTTCAGTACCCTCGCATTGATCAATTTTACACCTACCCTGAAAATTTCATGACCCTGACCCAAATGACCTTTGACCTGTGACCTCTTTTCCGAGACCATGTTTGGCCGGAATCGCGATTCCGCGTATGTCGGCTCGCATTAGCCGCGCGTTTGCAAGCTTTTCGTGGTTTCAAACGTTCAAACATATGATTTGATGTTGCTCCCATGCATTAGGGTGGGTGTCAAGGTCACCTGAAGGTCAGGTCAGGTCATTGACCTTTGGTGACCTCGGGTGACCTCGGTTCACTTTTTCGAGTTTTATATGTTTCTAGGCTAGTTTTTGGAGCTGAATTCGAATTTAGCAACCATTTGAACATTTACGAAGTAGTTTTGGTGCCTTCGTAACATGTTACGAAGCTGTCAGAGGCGGTTGACAGGTACTACGAACACCCGTCACAAGTCACAACCCCTACTGGTTGACCTGACCTGACCTGACCCGACCTGGTCTAAATGCTTAAAGACATCATCTGTGATCAAAACTAACACGATATTCGTGATCAGCACCCCGAAAAACCCCTTAGCAGCCACACTTTACGACTTTCTAATAGGTCCCGATTTTCCCGACTTTGGGTCATTGACCTGACCTGGAAGGTCAACCAATGATCTAGGACCTTAAAATTGGGTATCATCGGCTTCCTCTCGTCACGGGCAACACGCTCGTTTTTTCCGCGAAGCTCTAGCTTGATCAGGGGCCAAACGGCAAGGGGGGGAGTCCAACCTCCCCCCCCCCCCCTACACATTAGAAGCTGGCAAACGCCGCACACATGCGAGGGTTAAGACACAACTTGGAGCATCTGTTTGTCACTTGGCCTTGGAGTTTTAGGTTCTAGTGACCCGAGGCCAGGTCACAAGGTCACAAAAACTGGTACATTGTCAAAATAGCAAGAATACCGAATAAGAATACCTACCTACCACGCAGTTTGCGGAGGGCTGTACATGTAACTCTGGAACGAATCGCTCGAGCATCGCTAACCATAAAACATACGACAAAAGTTAACTTTGCAAACTATCATCTTATTTCCAATAACGGCACTGCTTATTTCGCCTCACCGTAACAGGTTTTGAAATTGGTTGAACCTCAAAATAGTGGCTGGATTCGCCCTTGGGCAGGGGAGTAGCGAAAATTCTGCCCACCCAGTGAAAAATCCTTAGAGGAGGCCCTGCTAGGTGTGGTCCTATTTCCATCAGCTCTCCAATTACAATCTAACCTCCCGATCAGAATTAATGTCTCGGGTGGCAATGTTTGTGAGCACGACGCCACAGCATTACGCGTCGCCGAAAACAGCCTAACAGGAAACAGTCAGAAAACAGAAAAAAGAAAACAGAAAATCGCGAACTGTAAAGCACAAAGTAGTACATTTCACAGCTTCATTAAACCACCCGCGAACTTTTCCCGCAGTCACCTCGGAGATGTACCTGGGAAATAATGATACGATGTGGCAAAACTTTCAGCTCATTTAACTTCAGCTGAATAGCATGGTGAGTTTTCAACAAGCCGAGTTCGTAGGCCAAAGCTAACCAAATCTGCGAGGATGAAACGCAAGAGTGGATTTGAGCTTCAAGGATTCTTTAAAATAAAACTTACGAAAGTTCCATTGCGTCTCATTTACGTCAAAGTTCATATGAAATGTTCAGTGTTTTCATGGCGAATTTCCCCTGTCAGAGCCTCCGCAACACAAAGCTTGTTGCGCAAATTCTGACCTCTAAGATCCGATCGGTAAACTCTGGGTGCATGGTAGAAAATATGAAATCATATGCTTGACTATCCACATAATCGTTGTTACTGACAGAATTGATGTGCCCAGTGAGCGTGCCGGTCTTGAGGTATCATTTCATTCCACCTCCAACCATAAATTCCCTCTGCCTCATTCTGTCGCCGGCTCCTTACTTGGTCTCCTCCTGTCTCCTAGCCTCCTCCTGCTCCTGCTGAATGGCCATCTGCTCCAGCCGCTGGCGACCCTCCTCCTGCTCCTGCAGCTCCTGGCGGGCAGAGTTCTGCGCCTCTTCTCTGTACCGGGGAAGGATTAAAGCCGAGGTCACATACGGGGGCATATCACAGGTTACAGGGTATTGCATATGTCCCAGCTGCAGACGTTACAACACAAATCGGAGCAAAACCACATCAAATGTATCGCGACACTCATGCCAACAAGGTCGGCAGGATGAAGCAAAAAAGGCGGTGTCTGCCAACAGCTGGCCAGCACACAAAGATAACCAGAAATAAGACACAGTCGATTCAGTTACCTGTCACACAGACAATTGACAAACCAGATGCTACACGAGCTGGCAGAGCTAAATGGCAAGAAAACAACCACCTGACTACTGGACTAACTCAGTTGACAGTTTGGAAATCTTGCACCCTTATGGGAAACTACATTCGCGCACTGCTCGCTCGCTCAATCCCCGCCAGCACAGTAGCCCACCCTCCCACCAACACCTCCCACTATCACTCACAGTTTCCGCTGTTTGGCCTCCAGGTCACACTTGTGTGCCTCCGCGTACGGCCGGAACGTAGCACACACAGAGTCTAGCAGCTCAATGTAGCGAGTCATGGCCTCGGGTCGGCTCAGTTCACCGAGCGCCTGCCACGCCTGTCTGTGAAAGGAGAAATATGTCAGCGGGGGCCACATCCACTAAGTGCGTGTCTAAACGGAGAAACATGTCGGCAGGGGCAGCATATTCCATCAAGTGTGTCTCTAAACGGAGAAATATATCAGTCAGGGCAGCACATATCCACCAAGTGCGTGTCTAAACGGAGAAATGCGTCGGCAGAGGCAGCACACATCCATCAAGTGTGTCTCTAAACGGAGAAATATGTCAGTCGGGGCAGCACACACCCATCAATTGTGTCTCTAAGCGGAGAAATATGTCAGCAAAGGCAAAACACGTCCACCTAACGTCTGTCCAAACGGAAAAATAAGTAGGTAGCCGCCCGTCAGCCTAGCTAAGCAGAGTAAAGGGCTAGAGTGAGCAAGGGCGTTGATGTTCATTCACGCCGTGCTACTCATAGAGTGTCAGATGATGACCATGTTGATACTGATTGATGACGTTTGAGACGTGCCAGGTAAGCGCCGTCGGTTTCAGATCCTGCCATCTGGTGGAGGATCGGTGAAATTTAGCTTCCGAGCAGAGTTCACCGAGGTCGCGTATGAGGGCGTCGTGTTTATTTGTTGGTGAGACCCCTGCCTCGGAGCTTCAGCGTTACGTAAAAGCCCCGTGAGAAATACGCTGTGGTCAAGCACCTGTCCTCATCTGACTTGATAGCCGACTGTATCGATGGCATTGTTACCAATGCTAGCCACCGCTTCTGCTTATAATATGTCTTGCCGGCGGTTTATGACTGTATGCGGGAAAGGACATTGAAGATATTATGACAAGCAAACCACCAAGTGTTCCAAATAGCATGGTTTATAATTATATGCGTTAAACGCACGCTAGCGCAGAATGAGTGCATAATGCAAAAGTTTTTGCCCAGCTCACGATAGCAGACAATGGAAGCACAATGTTACGGGCAATGCATCGATAAACACATGGGTAATGCATGTTGGTTGTTGAGTCATCAAGTCATCACTAAATGTGCATCGATGAAGCTAACTGTGTGAGCAGCTGCCGTCACTCGCTTCCTCAACTCGACGGTGGCAACGGAGCAGAATTAGACTATGGTGTCTTCGACAGTGTCTGCGTCGGCGCCCATAAGTCCTCCGTTGGCGTCGTCGTGATGGAACGTAGGGTACCGTAAGGTGGGGCTATTTGAGACAGTGGGGCTATTTGAGACAGTATTTAAAATTGTTATAAAATAAAAACCGCTTGAAATTTATGCTTAATTTTTGCTCAGGCGATTTACTGCTCGATTCCACACCTTCCTGAGCAAAAATATCACATAAAAATCAAACGCACTTCATTTTATAGCGATTTTAAATACTGTCTCAAATAGCCCCACTGTCTCAAATAGCCCCACTGTCTCAAATAGCCCCACTTTACGGTAGCTTTAACTGGTTGCTCAGGGCGTGCCGCCAGCTGAGACGACGTGCGCTCGTACTGACCTGCGGTCGCGTCCGATGACGTCCAGCACTCCGAGCGGCGGCAGCGCGTCCGGTCGGCACGGCCCGTGGACTGACTGCTGCTGCAGAGCCGACAGCTGCAGCTTCTGCTCGTAACTCGGCTGCAGCACCTTGCCAGAGTTGTCTGCCAGATAGAGCACGCAGCATAGGTAAATTGACAGGTAGGTGCAGCCAGACAATGTCTTAAGTACAAGTCATTACGGAGCGAGCGAAGCGAGCGTAGTCTTTCCTCAGATTAACGGAAATTTCTGAGTATGAGCGGCCGGCCGGCCGTGCGGACGCTTTTGCGAGGCTTATATCTCAGCAACCACTTGACCGATTTATATGCGGTAATTTTTGTAGGGTAGCTTCATTCCTTCTACCAAGTATTGGACTATTCCCATTTCCCGATGCATGTGGGTGACCCCTTATGCACGTGCCACGTGCAAAACGAAGAGGTGTCAGTTTTGTAATTGTTGCAATATCTCGGTAACTACTGGGCCGATTGCGCTGAAAGTTGGCATGTAGGTAGGCACCCACTAGGCACTGCATATCCATGTGCCAGAGTTGGGGTGCTGCTGCACGTGCGCACGTGCAGGGGACGTTTCCAGATCTCGAGAACGGCTGGACCGATGGCGCTCAAATTTTGTACGCGGTTAGGGACCGGTTAGTAGGGTGCCGTGCAAAAGTCAGTCGGGACCCATCTTGCGCGTGCGCACGTGCAGGGTGCCGCTTCCAGATCTCGAGAACGGCTGGGCCGATTGTGCTCAAATTTGGCACATCGCTAGGGACCGGTTAGTAGAGTAGGGTGCAGTGCACAAGTTAGTTGGAGGTACCCCCTCGCAATTTCGCACGTGCAAGGCCCACCCTCTCGCTCGCTCCGTTAGTCGCCCCAAAAGGCGTTATACTGGTATGGTAGGTGTGGACCGTGGATGTAGTATTTGTCACACTAGTATTTTCTTATCATGCCATATTATAGAAAGAAGTGGGGCAGCATTGTCTCCATCAAAACAAGGTTACATGTCATGTCACAAAAGTATTCACTTCCAGCAAGTCATCTCACCTTTGTAAAACTTGACAGCCAAGTGGTAGAGATGCTGCAGCTCAAGTCCCCACTTTTCTGAGACTCCATTGCTGGCCTTCTCAGTGACACTAAGTGCTCCAACACCCTCAGTGGCTTCCTTGACATCATCTGTGGCCATTGCGGCTGGACTGATGGGTGGCTAGAAGACCAACAGTCTCAACCAGGCTGCAGAGAAAGAATGCTACATGAAAATAATAGGAAAAGAACAGAACAACAGAATGACAAACACAAATAGCTCACTTAACTAAAAAAAGTTAGGTAGGTACACAGCTTTGAACCTTGGAGTGATAACACATTTTTTTTTCGGTGACGGTCATCCCATATTACTGGAAAAAAGATTTAAGGCAAACTTTTAGTTCCTTTCATTTTAATGTTTGCAGACACTAATGCAATTTGAATTGGATACATTTGATGTCTCCCAGACAACAATAATTCTAAGTCATCCAGGCCAATGTCATTTGATAGTCACAGGCAGAGCCAACATCAAACTGCATTGGCCCTGAAGCTGTAAAATCTTTGTCATCCCAATCCGGGAGTTATCAAATGCAGCCTTCATTCCCACTACAAACAACATTTTCACACTGAGGGTTGATCATGGACCCTGTGTGCAGTAGGACCGTACACAGGCTCCAAGCTCCACCCACTGTGTCCCTACGTCAGCCTTCCATCAGTGCACACAGCAACCGCTGTGGCCAGTCGGGACGGGACACAGTTGACAGTGTTGGCTGTGTGCGGTCCACCGCACTCAGCCGGGTGGCATCATACAAACTATCCATCCCCTAACTAACCCCATGCCTGCTGCACATACTGCACACCCTGCACTCAGCAGTGCACTCAGCAGTGTGCGGTGCCCGTGAACCAGGGTATATTGCCCGTGAATAGCCCTCTGGATGACAAAAAAAGAGATTAAAACCAATGAATGAGCATGAGGCAAATTACCTACACCCTATGTTCGTTCATTGGGGTTTACGGGCGCGTCGACTGCGGTGGTCATTTTGCGCCCACCCTACACCCTATTATGTGTTTGAGCAGCAGAAATACCTACACAAACTAATAATGAGGATGGAGCTTGCAATTGTTATTAAAATCTGATAAATCTGCAAGCCTGTATTAGCCTAATTGGACTAAACTGAATTGTTTTTTACACATTTTCCAGGGCGTTAAGTCCGACGTTCGTTGCCGAGATCTTGATCGGTCAGTTTGGTAAAAGCATGACCTTACCTATTTAGTACCTACAACCCCAACCAACCTACAACCTTAAACCAAAAACCTACAACCCTACCAACCTAAAACCTAAAACCTACAACCTAACCTAACCTAACCTATTACCTAACCTAAAACCGGCTCTCTCTATCGTCTGGAGGTTTCGAAAGATGCTCTCCAGAGATGGCGCTAGTAAGTTTGGGTGACATGACGTCATGCTTAAAAGTGATGGGTTTTGTGAGAGCAAATGCAATAATAGTTGAAAATTTTGTACTTTTGCTTAATTGAGAATAAATAAATATACAATCGTTCAAAACAGCGTTTTCCTCATTCATCCTTCAATGTTTTAAGAGGAATATAGACAGTTTGAATCTTTTTTCTTGACCGCAATTCGCACACGCACTAAATTAAAAGCTGGAGTTTTGTGCGTTCGTAAATTGTGATTTGAGAAAATAAATTGACAATAATCTTTTGCAATTTTGCTTTACAATCATTTTTCAATGCAGATAAATGCATAAATTATTCCAAAATAGGCATATCTTTGAAATATTATGATTTTCCACAAGCAAATTTTTCCAAAAACTTGAACTACTTTCAACTGACGAACGCATCCAATAATCTGGATGTCTTAGGATGAGTTCGTCATTTTTTCCCCAAGGAAATACGTTACAGTTTAAGCTACTTTACCGATTTATTAGGGTACTTTTGCCAATGAATTAATAAATAAATGACAACAATTAATCTCATTATCAAACATACTCGGAAGAATTTTCTTCACATAAGCGCGAACACATCCGCGCTTTCATGAAAAGTAACGCCTGTAGATGTCAGGACTGCTGCTTTATGTTTCGCAAGGTGGCGCAGCGCGCAGGGTACCGACTACCGAGGATGAGGTCTCCAGACTCTCCACCACGATTTAGCATGGAAATGGCCAATGGGGAAGGTCTCACCCAAAAAACGGACGCCCTTTTACACAGCTGCATAACGAGAATGAATTATTGGCATAGCTGACCATACGTCCCCTCCCCCTCTCCGCCCTAGCTCAATTGGAAATATCGCCTATTTTCCTTAGTCAGTTATATTCTGACTAATTTCTCACTCTTCCCAGTAAACCTAACATGCATAATGCAGATGTCCACTGCGTAAGTCGTGTGCTTGCGTAAGTGTGCCAACTATATAGTGCTGCCTAGTGCCTACACAGTACACTCTACAGTGCCTACTGCTTCCACCATTGTCGTTATAATTGGTGATTCTCAGGTCAAAAGTTACACAGTGGTCTCAGAGAACAATCGTTTCAACAAATTAACGATTCACAACGTTGCATTCTACTTATATTCCGGTCAGTTCTGATACTAAACGATTCCGGCAAAACACTCTTTAGGTTATGTATTAGCGAACCACCACACAAAATTCGCCTAATCAATGGTCAGTTATTACTGCTGGGCTGAACCGTCATACGCTATATAGCCTATTGCAGTCAATATTTTCAGAACGATACCGACTGACGAAACACAACGTATTCGCGGATTCGCACATACGTTGGCAGTTGGCACGGCACCCAGGTGGCCTGTCAGCAGCCGCACAAATTGAGATGGTACACCGTAAAGCATGCCTTTCCACACAGGCACAAGCACAGGGACACAAATTCTCAAAATCCAAACTTATTCCAATACTGGTCAAATACTAATAGGCATAAAGTTTTGAGGTTTTCTCATGTTCATTCTTCTTTCAACACACGCGGCAGACTGCAGCAGAACATCTCACAGAGCTGCGCTGGATGCAGTCATGAGCTGGGACACGGTTTGTGACCAATGACCGATCGGGGGTGCCAGCCTCCTCCCGGCACGCGATGCACTGGCCGCCGCGCAGTCGATGTCGGGGCACCGCCGGCATTCACCGACAGGGTTCCATCCGATTCGGTGTATTGGTGGCAGCCCGAACAGTGACCCACGCGAAGCTGGTGGACGTCGATGGCCGATGAGCGATGCCCTTCCGCGACCGGCGGTGGCAGTCGGTCCCACATCAAGAACAGATACCAGTCATGCGGTCAGTCGGCGACGGCGCGGTCGCGAGCCGATCTGATGGTCGCGCGGTGGGCGTTGCCGACGTCCACCGGGACCGTCGACTGGGGGAGCCCGGCCGCCTCTTGGCCGCCGCCTCTGGTCGGCGCGCTCGTTGCGCTGTGGGACGGCATCCACTGCAAGTCGTTCACTGTGAAGCGGTCGTTTGACCGGACCTGGCAGGCAGGGAAAGGGGACCTCAGATGAAGTAAAACCATCCCTCAGGCCAGCTTGAGCTGGCTCTCCAGTCTCCACCTCACCATGTTAGATAAGCGGACACCCTCGTGATCATCGCAGCGATGATTGTCAATTGGTGTGTCATTATGGGAGAGGATGCCAGCCTCCTTTGCAAGATAGTCTGCCTTTAATATAGTGCAGCCCGACCCATTGCCTGTGGCAGCAGACTGGGCTTGATAATGCAGTGCTGAGGGGTGTTCACGGGCACCGCACACTGCTGCGTGCGGTGTGTGCGGTGCGTCCAGCAGGCGTGGGGGTAGGGGATGGGTAGGCGGTGCTGACGTCACGGCTGCGTGCGGTGGACGGTCCGCTGTGGCCAGTCCCGACCGGCCACAGCGATCGCTGTGTGCGGTGACGGAAGGCTGACGTAGGGACGCAGTGGGCGGAGCTTGGAGGCTGTGTGCGGTTCGACCGCACACAGGGCCCGTGAACAGCCCCCAGGACACACCAAACGTAAGCGGCCATCTGTACCCCCAATGCAGTAGGGCTGACTCAAGAGCCCAGAGTTGCATCCCCCCACCATTCTGTGCACGTGATAACTGGATGGGACATGCCATGGTCAGCATCTGTTCAAAAGCTGCCCTAAGCATGTAAAGCTCCACTGGCATGCTCGAGCATGGTCACAGTCAGTTCTCACTTCTCAGTTGAACCTCCAATGGAAACCCATCACAAAGTAGAGATCAGGGCGCCTCTCACACTGCAGCACACTCAACGACTGAGGCACCATCTCATCACTTGCAGGTGGTTCTTGCCAGGAGCAATGCCAGCCACGCACATCAGGTGACAACAGCAGTGTACAACTGCAATCTACAAGCATCCATGTTCTTTCTGGTTTTCTCCGGTTGAGATCCACTGCCATGCATGAACTTGATGGGCTTTTGTTGCGCTCCTCCCATGTGCAGACAGGTTTCTGCTGAAACAAAGCAAAGCAAATGTGATTAATAATGGCCCTGTTTCACCATCCAGACACTGTGTGCACTGGTAGCTACGGCATACCATAGCATTACTCAAATGACGTTGCATGTGATCTCTTAGTTTATGATGAATCACGTTTGGAACAGAGTGAGAGGTTCTGAAAAACCGTACCAAGAACAGAGGTTTGAGTTCAAATACTGCTAGCATGCTGCTGGTGCTGGTACCGCAGCGTGCTAGCGTTCTGAGATGCTGTCATAGCTTAGCGTCACAGTGAAGTTTGTTGACACTGCCATGGAAACCCAATGCTCTGACACACGCAGCGCGAAACACCACCCATGAACGTTGGTTGCATGACCAGGATCGGAGCAGTGTGGCAGACAGTGATTTTAATTTTAATTGCACTTCCTGGAGATTAACAAGTTGTTGGTGAAATTGCTATTCATTATTCCTATTACCATTGTCTAAATTTCACATTTCACACAGCATCAGCATTCAGCATTGACATGTTATATAAAATAAGGTTTAGACTTCAGGTGGTCCCGGGTTCAGCTATTAAGTAGAACAAGCCACAAGGGCAAAAATTGTCAGAAAAAAAAAATATTTTAAAAAATACCTGCCTTCATCAACACCTCAACTTATCACATATCTCAATACAATCTAACACAGATGGGTTAAAAACAAGGCCCTAAAAGCAAAAAACCGTTTGAATAACAATGTAATATTTTGCAACCGCTGCACCATTACTGTCACGTACGCTATCCCTAGATTGGTTGCTGGTAAGCAGTGGTTGTCGTCATCAACTCGTCATGCAGCAGCTGATTGGGATGGGCGGGGCCTATTTTTATCCAGGCGATAGAGAGAGCCCTAAAACCTTTTTTTTTGCTGTTACATATTTGTATCAACAGCGTCACAATTGTCCACTCGGACCTAATATATACTAATACCAAAGCATGAACCTCAACCAATACTAACCAGAAGTAAAAAAAAAAATATGTCGAAGAACTCTTCCAATTTCTGAATATATTTTTATCGTTCACCATCCACCACCCGTCACCAAAAAAAAACACAAAAATATTGTAAATCGCCGGCCCTTTGCAACAACAACCAAGGACAGCAATAAGCAATAAACACGTATCACACGCCCTAAAACACTGCAATAAAATTATCAGTAAGCTGTTTGCATTTTGTAACATCCGCGAATGTAATGTAATCGTAAGGTTTGATTAGTGGATAAAGTGCATTAGGAAACGCACAGGGTGGGTATAATATATCAGCTTTTATATGCATCACTTTGCATGACCTTGGCCCTTGATCTCAAATAGTTTATAGTAATGCAAGCCTAAATGGCAGACGGCTTATTCCAAGATATTTCGCTGCTTATCCCGTCTGAGCAAAATGTTTTATAAATATTTTATGCATTGTTGTAACGCAATTAAATTTAACGGCGAAGGCCATTCTGAAATGCATAGGCGCAGCGATGTGCCTTCGGCTACACCGTGCAAGAGAAAGTGCCGTGGCATTGGGATCACTCTGAAAGCCTTCCATGAAAATATCGACCTGTTGGAGAACAATAGATCATAACTCACAGATTTTTCATCTCGGCTCTGTGAGGAGAAACTGGCGGATTTGAAGCAGCGCATTGCCTTGCGCCAGACCGGATGTCCTCATTCGCATCCAAACCGCAGCCATCCACTGAGTCGAGTCCGCAGACGGCTTTCACTGAGCTGACGGAACCGTCATCATCTGCGCCGTGTAGGTTCAGCAGGTATGCTACTCAGAACGCTCAGAACAAAAGTCACAGTGATGGACGTTTATTTTTGACAAACAGTTCATCGCCAGGTCTTTGAAATACACAAATATCCATATAGGTATGACACATCAGCAATAAAACAACAAACTCGAACTGCGGCTCTTCATCAACCGATTAAACATCAACTTCTCAGATGTTTTCGTTTAGCCAGCCCAGGGGCAGCGTAGTCGAGTTATGGTCGTAGCTGTTTGGGACCCGGCTTTGATTCCAACGCTGCAACGGTATTCGGTGGCGGGTGGAGACCGTCCGTCCGGTTAGTTTAGTCACAGGGACATCTGTACGGCTTTCGGCTTATTTGGTGTCTCAGATCATATCACATATGCACTGCGTAACGTCTCAATACTTTGAGCTTAACACTGAAGTCATACTCCAATGCACATGTTGTGATCTGAGCAAGACCACGAGCACTTGTAAGGATTCGGTACTCAATCAAAAAACGTCAATCATAATCGTGAGATACCGCTTATCGGATGCCGTCACAAGACCATCAGGTTAAGATTATGCAAAACGGGCATTACGAGTTGAGCGTCAAGGTAGACAAAACTCGCGTAAAGGCTTGATTTCTCAGGCATTGCTCGTTTCACCTGTCATGAATCGATAACCGACGATATACCGTAATTCACCACGTTACGAAGAACGCTAACTAGAAGTCGTGGGAGTCTCGTGCATTGTCCGGTTGACCGTATCTAGGCCTAGTGGTTATGATTCATCACTGTCCTCATTGCTTGTTATACGATGCCCTGTGACCACGGAACGCATTGAGCTCACTTCGTTGTCGTGAACGTTTTCCACTCGTAGGCTGGTGTATGTATGTTTCCACTCTCGATCGTGTTGCTGGCCTTCTACCGTCTCACGCAGGGCTCACGTACTAAAGCACATATGATATCGTATCGAGCACGCTCGTTCGTAGAGCCTGGTGGCCACCACAGATGTGGCTGTTCATTTATCGCCACTTCATCGTGGACAGCCATGCGTCTTTCAAGTCACCACAAGCCGATGTCAGTGCTCTATCATCGTGTTTACGTCTACACCGTTAGCTGCGAGACAGGCTAGTGCAGGCGCATTCACCCCTGGCGTTCTTTGTTCTCTCCCATCGGGGATTACACGGCCAGGAGTCATTTAAGCCAGTGCGGCGTCACGCAGCTCTCACTGTCCGACTCTTGGTTCCGCCTGGCAGACGAACCTCCTGCTGCCGTCACACTCACTGAGTTGCCAGCCGTTCTGGTCGACCCCGAGCCTCACGGGCCGGTGTGTGGCGCAGCTGAGCCGGCGACTGTTCAGCGCCAGGTCCTCCGCCAGGAAGGCGCTGAAAGTCTCCACCGGGGCGCCGCCGGCGTCGAAGAGGAATTCTCCCTCGCGCTGTAGGTCGGATATGCCGATGTAGGGCTGCTCTTCGGCAGCTCGACGCAGCACCAGGAACGTTTGTAGGTTCTGCTGCTCGACACGGTTGATTGGGGAGACCAGCGCGGCGCCTACTCCGAACAGCGCCGGACACGCGGCGCGCGCGTCTGTCCACGAGGCAGCGCGGAACGCGGGTAGTCCCAGGCAGATGCCGCCCGCGTTCAGCATCTGCTCCGGACAGGCACCCTCGCTCGGTTGGCACGTGCTGGTGGTCGGGTGACAGAAGCCCGTGTTGCACTGCTCGCCGCGCTGGCACGAGGCACCGATACGGAAGTTGGACACGCACCTGGCGTAGGTCGGAAACATGAGTCAGAGGGGCAGCATCGACGTAAAGCATCGGCAGCCTCGACGCTTCAGAGAAGCCACTAAATGAACGGCGAAATTTATGGATTAAACGGATTGAAAGACGTTTGGCGTTGATTTGACAGACAAATTGATGACACTCCGGTGGGATATACGCTACACATGGCAGGTGCCTGGTAACCAGAATATCGGCACGTTAAACTTTACCCGTGTTATAAGCAGGCGGTAGAGCCAGTAACCAGCTACCTCCTTTCCCCTCCCCACGTACCGATGCACGAACAGTCCCTGACAGGTGAACGGTTCGCAGTGCTGGTTGAGCGGACACCCGAGAGTCTCGGAGCAGTCACTCAGAGTGTCCACCTCAAACAGGGAGTGACGCAGGTCATCGCACGTTTGCCGATAGAAGAACGACAGGAATCGGTCTGCCAGTGACTGCCCGCCGGCGCCTGTCGCCTGGAATATGAAAGAAATCACATAGCATCAGACACGTGATAACCTGCGGAAATTCAACATTTATTTGTTTCTAGTCCGTCCAATTCACGCTATCACGTATAGATCACATAATAAGGGTAACCGTATGTAATGCGTAGGGGACTGCCGAGGGCAAGATTACTGGAGCCTAACCAAGGGGACTGCAGGACACTCGAGTGTGTGAGCAGAGGTCATCCGAGAATTAGGTCAGATCCATCCTGGTTCACCGCGCTCAAGGAATCCAGACTTAGCCCGTTCGCAATGACCACACCGCAAGCCGCAAGGTAAGAACTGAGAAGATCGGTGAGCAGACAGGATGTGACAGATAAGTCGGGCTTTCGGACTGGTTTCGGTGTCGCTGTGACGCGCCAACAGGGATTGGGAACGGCGACCGCCCCTTCCGTCAACTGGTTTCTCCGGTGGACGTATTATCGCGCTTCGCTTCCTTACTATATTTGACGCCAGTGACCGGAATGAAGAGAGGTGTATACTAGTTTCAAACCGGCCTACTTAGCTAGGGAGAGAGGTACAAACTGAAACTAGTTAGTAATACGGGATGATATCAGTTACGAGCTCTCGACGGCTGAACGTTTATTTCCAATCAAAGACAATCATTTGTTGCTTGGTGGGCTGTCCGGTGCAATGCCGGTGCATTCTAAGCACCTAATCAGTGCCGTTAGAAGCCATAACCATTAACCAAACTGTATAGTTGGGTGCTCTAAATTCTGAAATTTTTCTAAGCGATCAAACGTCTTCAATTACACCTTTTAAACGCATTAAAAGTGACCACTCAAAGTAACCGTATGCAGCCGATTTGTGATTGGCTTTGCATTTTGAACGGATGAAATTGCGTAAAATATTACATCATCACGCACAACGGCCTAACTTACCACAGCGATTAGCGAATAGCGATACAAACACTTATTGCCGCAATTGACTAGTGACTATTTGAATGACTAGTTGAAATTCATTCAGCTTTACATTCAAATATTAATTAAATCAAATGTTAAAATATATTCAAGACTTTCGCAGCTAACGTTTTGAAACGTACTCACCAGAGCGACGACTAGCACCACCGTCCACCGCATGTCGGGCACCACCCTCGGACGGCACCAGTGGCACCACTTGGCTGGTGAATGTACCAGTCCTGATTCCCGCAGAGCACCAACGGTACCGCTCAGCCACTTCTGGTGTTCCGCGCGGCCCGTCACCGCAGTTGCTCAGATCAGCAGCACTACGGGAACCACTGGAAACTCAGAACTCCAACGCGTCAGAACCAAACACTAGTCCCTGGCCGACACACTAATGATGTCTGTCCCAATCACCACTGAGTCAGGAACTGCCGGCGAACCGTCTTCGGGCCAGCAGTATCTCTCTGCGTTCAGTAAGCGCCCAGGCCGAACCGTATCTGCGCCCACTACCGTCACCGAGACAACTAACTGTGTGACAGGCTGCCTCTGTGACCGCACCGCCTCTGATCCAGTCCGGTCCGGCCGGCTCTCCGACCCCCCCCCCCCCCCACCTCTGACCTGACTGGATGTCGTGCGGCGCGCAGTGGGGGAGGGGGGGGGGGGTAACCTGTCCGGAAGATGTCTCATTCCGTAGAGTCGGCACGGTGGGACCGAGTACACGCAGCAGGAACAAGACGCTGGAGGTCACTGCCCACTGCACCGGTCATCCGGCATACCGGAGCGCTTCTTCCTTTATCACACGTGGTTTGCTCAGCCTGTGCGCTTGACATTTGTTACTCAACTAAAAAGGACGAGAGAAAGTCAGTGTGACGCATCGATGACGATACAGTGAGCAGATTTTGACGAGGTGACCCATAAACAGCGAATGTAATAAAAGATTCCCATTTCGCGAAACGGTACGCCAATAGGTGATAAAACACTTCACTGGAAAATCAAACCATACATGCATTGCTAACCCCGCCCAGAACTGTACAAAATTGTTTATACAAACCACCCCAGTGGTGTCACTGACACTAAAACCACTGGTCACCACATCAACCCCAACCAAGGTCACCCAGCGGATTATTCTTTCAGACAATCAATATATATAAAAATTCGTTGTATTTCTCACCGAACGAGTCCATGCACCATACACCAACAGCTCTTCAATGAGGCCCTGTTCGACGGGAGTGGCGGACGGCAACGGACGGTAACAACCGACGACCGTTCAGATGACCCATTCGGACCGCCGTTTTAGCCTCGGATATGCTTGCAATAGCAAATATACCTACCACACTAGACGTGAGCAGCGCTCAGGGGTCGACCGCACGTTTAAACTCTGTTCGCCATTCAACGGAAGCCATGGGATAGATCGATTACTCCGAAATGAAGCATCCTGCCGCAGTCTACATGGAAGACCACTGACACCAAGTCGCACACAGCCCTTCGTCCCTTTTAACCTAGCAGGACAAAACCCACGTAACATTTGCAGCGGATATGCGGTAGACACCGTTCAGTCGCTAGGATGACGCACCATACACCTCACCAAAGACAGCGTCAGCATTAGACATCAATCAGGATGCTATGGAATTAAAATACGTGTTACAAAATGCAGCACAGTGCGATAATTTCGAGCACATGAAGATAAGAGCAATGTGCAAATAAATTCACTAAGATTTATCTATAGGGTCAAGGTAAATAAACAAAACATGCTGATAAAGTTTTCAGAAAAAAATAGCTATTTATGCTAGATATGTAGTGACATAAATCTACATCACATCAAGGGGAGAACAATAGATGAAAACATAATATTTAAAAATAAACCGTGGACATGCTTCACTTTCAAATAAATATAAACAAAGAACAACGTGCACGACAAACTCTACTCGTTTGGAATATTCGATTCATGTCCTCCTTAGGTACCCAAGAAACCATAAAAGCTTCTATCCATTCAAAGAGAGCATGAGAAATCCTACCCATCTCTCCCTACTACTCAAATAGAGTGCTACTCAAATAGACTGATATATTCTATCTATTTCGGACCATAAAATATTTTTCCAGGTCTGTCAGTCCAGTACTCAGGCTGGAAGATTATACACAGCTCGTATCGTAAGTACCTCCTATCGACCATGCAGCAGATTCCACTGCATAAAATCACTACACCCAGAGAACGGCTAAAATGTAACACAACTACCAGTCTGGAATGACTAATAAGTGGTATCAGTTTTGCCCGGTGCGCCGCACGCGGGGGCCGGGCCTGGCATTGAGGCAGTTGAGGCCCGTGTGGGTTGGACGGTCATATTCTACCGAGAACTGCTCACAAACCTCCGGCCAGCTCTTAGTCCCACCGAACTTTGACCTCTAAGAGGCTCTAGCACAAAACCGTTGTAAAATGTATGGAAAATAGCGAGAAAATAGCGGTCTAATCCTGACTCAGCGGTGATACGTTCTTCTCAATATACAAATTTCAGCAACACAATTTCAACCACTTAATAACTCTACTTATGGGTTATCGAATTTTTGGTTACCTGATACAAAACTGATTTCGATAGTTTTGGCAATTGGAATTTCAAGCCTTGCATTTGTTTATAATAGGGTTGATTTTACGAATCCTTTCGATATCAACTGATTTGAATTTGGCAAAAAGTATGTTTTCCTTTCTATTCCTACTTATCGAGACATCACAAACTGCACAGCTTCACGATAACTCACTAACAATAACTCTGATCACACCTCACAACAATACGCCCTCCAACGGAGAACACTTCATACGGACGGCAAACATTTTGCACCCGTTTCTCCATTCCTAACCAAACAAACCAAAACCCTTTCCTGTCCTTCACCTTCTCTTCTCCCTGCCATAGCCATCACACAGCCTTGACAGACCGTTTTCGTCCGGTCGACGGTAGCTCGCTATCACTGCCCCCTTCATCATCTTCTACGTGTCGCAGTGGAGAATACATCTCGGTGGAGCGGTCTGTCCCCGCCAGTTCCTCTACCGTTTCTGGTAGAGGTCGGCCCAGCGTCTCCGGTAGACTGAGGTTGAGTAGACCCGAGCCGGCCGCCAGACCGCCAAACACGACGAAATGCAGGTCCGGGTATATGTCGTTCTGGAGGGGGAGGGGGGGGGGGGATCCTTCAGAGCGACGGGAAATGTGGGTCTAATAAATCTGTCGTCCCAGACTCATTCCTCAACCCCACCGACTATCCAGGATGGCTGCCCCATCCCTTTGGACCACCCATCGACTCCTCAGATACCCACTTACCCCTCCGGGAAGCGACGAACCAACTTACCAGCAGTGCCATGAACGGGTAGCAGATGCCGCCGAGTCGAGCGAACACGTTAACCAAGCCGTAGCCCGTGTTTCGGATCGACGTCGGGAAAATCTCCCCCGAGTGGATGAAGATAACCGAAAAACTGGCCGACACACACAGCTTGCCTGTGAGAAGGGGAGAGGCTGGTTTACAATTTACACATACGCTCGATATTACGAAAACCGGGCAGTGCAGATTAGGGCCGGGGTTGGGTGAAATAAAAATGAAATAAAACTTACAAAATCACATTCGAGAAACTGCGCATGAGTGGGATACTGCTTCAGTCTTCTAATTTTTATGCTGCCTCCAGAGTCATAGTCAAAGAAAGGGTATTTCTAGTCTCCGAAAACACAATAGAACTGACGCCATACAAAATACGGCGGACTGAGTGACAGACTATGTAATCCTAGTTACATCATCGCCCACAATGTCAGCGGCAACACTTACCAATGAGCCCCAGCATCATCCTGACGTGTGACATTTCGTCCCGCCGCGGCAGGCCGACGATGGACAGACAGCAGACGCCACCCAGCAGCATGAAGGCGCACAGCGGCATCCGTCGTCCGAACCTGGGCGAACGCACGGCGGAGGGATTGTTAGGGAGTGGTGGGTGGCGCATTTGAGCATCCCCAGTCGAGGAGTAAACTCGGGTAAACACACGGTTAGAATGAGCTAGAAATACATCCACATTGTGGCTATCAGCGCTTCCTAGATCAAGGCAAGACATTTAATAATCCCAGTTGCAAAACCCGGAGGTAATTGAGCATTCAATCATACTTAATTTGACGACTCCACGACGGCAACGTTGGGCAAGACCTTCGCAGACCAGAGAACCGATAATTCACACTGTACTCTCCACATGGCGGGGCCGCAGCGCGTAACCCAAAAACGTCATCCCCGCCCGAATAGGTCGACCAGCACTCTCGTCACCCACCTGTTGAGGACGAGGGCGACGATGACATAGGCGGGCAGCTCGATAAGGCCGCTGAGGGCCACCGAGGAGAAGCGATCGCTGCCCATGGTGGCAGCCGCCGCCGTCAGCCCGTAGTAGCACAGGTTGTTGACGAACCTGGCATGCAAGGGATGAGGGTGGGGTGAGCTCTCAGGTGAGTGAAAGGTCGTGGGGATGACGTTCGTTGGATAAGAAAACCGCGAAGAGGAGGAAACAGTTAAAGGGAAGGGCGCGAAGCTACCATGTTATTATATAAAACCATTTGGTAGACGTACCTATGTACATTATGCGTGCTGCTATCGACAAATACTGCATATAAGAACGGAAGGGAAACAGCTGGCTGCATACCTCACTTTTATCTTAACATTTTAAAATAATAGTGCAAAACAACGCAGTCACCGAACACAAAAGGCGTATTTCACCAATCACGATCAGAACATGCGGTTCGATGTCGTACGCATCCCACGCCTCCTGACTTACACTAACCCTCACTCACCACGAAAACATCATGATCAGTGTCCAGACGGCCACCTTGCGGTACTTGAACAGCGATGTGACGCCCTCGGCCGGGGGGCCCGCTCCGGCGGCGGGCCGACCGGCCGGTGCTCGCAGTGTAGTGCCGGCCGGGAGAGGGACTCCGTTACCACGGGCCGTGCGCTGCAGGATACGCAGTGCTGCCTCCGGGCGGCCCTTCAGCAGGAGCCAGCGAGGGCTCTCCGGGATGTAGCTGCGGGAAAAGGCAAACAAGGGTCGGATGCTGGGAGTGGGGACTGAGAGTGAGGATACTTTTATTTTGCTATATCATATGTGTCAGAGGTAGGTATTTTCTGCAATATTTACCTCTCAACAAACTCAAACATTGCGTGTTGAAACACCGTAGCGATATTCAGCGCAGCAGTAAAATCTTCAGATGCTTCTAAACATTCGGTGCTCCGACATACATTCTCTTCCGAACCTTTTCCCATAACCAAAAAAGCAGATCTACATTCACGTCATTAGAAACCAATCCTTTTCCCCATACTCACAAGTAGAGGGTGCAGTAGCAGCATCCGAGCACCATCATGAGCAGGTACAGGTGACGCCAGCTATGTACCAGCGCCGCAGACATTGATAGTGCCGGTATGCCCAGCGCGAACGTGGCACTGATGAGGTTGCCGACAAACGCCCGCTGAGCACCGCCCACCAGCTCCGAAACCAGCACGAATGATGAAAGGATCACGCCGATCATGACGCAGCCCGAGACGAATCTGACGCACGCATCCGGGGGGGGGGGGGGGGGGGTTAGGCAGTGGTGGGGAGGAGGGAGAAGATTCAGGGCATCTCTGAGAGGTGAGTACAGCGAATATGAGGCACCACTGCAAGCTGACATCAGTAGGCACGCATAAATCCAGATCAGTTGCTGCCGGGTAGCCGGTTATCAAAAAACAAACAGTTCTTACGCTACACGTGAGAGAGAAAAGTAAATAATACTACCTAAACCATGCCCAAACCATGGCAATCGCAAACAAACATAAAATCCTTCTGAACTGAGCAGGTACAGTATGAAGCAATTCCAACTACAGAGGAACTACGCAAGCACAGACGGAGTAAACAATGCAATGCAAATCCATACCCCTTCAAGCTGGGAATATGTACCTAAACGTCTACTTTTCAAGGATGCTTTAGGCAAATTACTTAGAAATATATATCTAGTATCTAATCATAGACCTCTGGACGTTTGCAGAGGTCTATGATCTACTGAACTACAAACGAAAAAAACAAAACAAAGAACATTCGTCAAATTTAAAGATACAAACATAAAATAGGGAGTACAATTAGACGGACAACAAACAGGCTCTGAACGTGGTGCAGTGGTTGAGCAGGCAGCACACGATGTCGAACTAAGGGGGCAGTGCGGTGGTGGTGGGTGTCTATTTGGCCACGGCACGCGCGGTGGACGGACAGGCGTCTCTCACTGTGCTGGGTGCGCTGTGCAGAAGTGATCCAGGCAGTGCCGGCGGCCGGAGACGGTATTGTCAGTAAGAAAGATCGGTAAACGAATATCGCCATAGATTATTTTGGATTCGACCCAACTATCAAGTTGCAATTAAGCTGCATCAATGTTATACATGATGAAATTTTCTCGTACAAAGTTCCTCGAGTCCATATGACCACCTATCCTACCACCTATCACTCCCCCTAATCCTACCATCCTACTCTTCTCCTCTTTCCATCCGCACCCCGCTCTCACCGAAGCAGCACGAATATATCGTAGGTGGGCGCCGCCATGCTGCCTCCCAGGCAGGCGATCAGCATCAGCAGGCACAGGAACATGGTGCGCTGGCGGCCGATCCTGTCCGCCAGCGGCCCCATCAGAGGAGCAGCCAGCATCAGGCCGGCCATGTATACCGACTGGCTGGCCTTGGCCCGGTACGCCTGGTCGCACACCAGGTCCCACTGTGGAGACAAACATAAAAGATAGTTATATTTCAGGTCCAAGACACAAACTCCCACTCCAGTAAACATATTTATATAAACGGGTTACAAACCAGGTACTACTGAATCACGGCACGGCGTAAATAATGCGACGGCTTAGCAGCATATTTGACCACAAATGCCCATGGGGAGGGTTGCAACAATCATAAAATGTCCGACACGTTTTTTTCGCGATTGTCTAAAAAATATGCCGTACTTTATCTCACGACATATGTATTATCTGCACACATGACGAAATACTAAAGAAAAGACCTTAACCCTCGCCGGCACAGGCCATTTTGAGTCCTTCGACGGCACAAGGGGGGGGGGGGGTTGGTACGACCCCCCCTCGCGTTTGGCCCCTGATGGAGCTAGAGCTTCGCGGAAAAAAACGAACGTGTTGCCCGTCACGAGAGGAAGCCAATGATACCCAATTTTAAGGTCCTAGGTCATCGGGTGACCTTCCAGGTCAGGTCAATGACCCAAAAATCGGGAATATCGGGACCTGTTAGAAAGTCGTAAAGCGTGGCTGATAAGGGGTTTTCCGGGGTGCTGATCACGAATATCGTGTTAGTTTTGATCACAGATGATGTCGTTAAGCGTTTAGACCAGGTCTGGTCAGGTCAGGTCAGCTCAGGTCAGGTAAGGTCAACCGGTAGGGGTCGTGACGGGTATTCGTAGTACCTGTCATCCGCCTCTGACAGCTTCGTAACATGTTACGAAGGCACCAAAACTACTTCGTAAATGTTCAAATGGCTGCTAAATTCGAATTCAGCTCCAAAAACTAGCCTAGAAACATGTAAAACTCGAAAAAGTGAACCGAGGTCACCAAAGGTCAATGACCTGACCTGACCTTCAGGTGACCTTGACACCCACCCTTATGCATGGGAGCAACATCGAATCACATGTTTGAACGTTTGAAACCACGAAAAGCTTGCAAACGCGCGGCTAATGCGAGCCGACATACGCCGAATCGCGATTTCGGCCAAACATGGTCACGGAAAAGAGGTCACAGGTCAAAGGTCATTGGGGTCAGGGTTATGAAATTTTCAGGGTAGGTGTAAAATTGATTAATGCGAGGGTACTGAAAGTTTCGTCGCGATCGGCCGCTTTTTACGCGGGTTATTCGCGAAAAACATTAGGGGGGGGGCGGGTTGCATCAATCCCCCCTTGTGCCGGCGAGGGTTAAACAAGCATTGAGTGCCTCCCTCAACGATGTTGTAGCTCCATCATTTATAGAACGGGACTGTCGAGTCGACGGCTTTTATATGACTCCGACTCCGGCATCAAAGCACTGACAAAACCTCAACTTTGACTCAAGTTACTAATTTTTGTGGCGCCATTGTCGTCTGCCTGTCACGCTAAAAACGTTTGTCCAAAACACGAATGTCTATGGCTTTGGTTGCGAAAAGATGTCAAGAAACACTAAACGAGCGTAACATCTTAAAAACTGGCTTAGCAAGATGAATGCACTGGCAAGACGAATTCGGTGACCAATTACTCCAACTCCGGCCCGCCCCGAATTGTCCGGATCCCGGCCTGAACTGTTCGGACTCCGGCCGGAACTCCGGCCTGAATTGTCCGGATTCCGACCTGAACCGTCTGGACCCCGGACTCCGGCCCGAACTGCCCGCACTCCGAACGACTCTGGCTTCGACATCGATTGCGAAGTCTGGTTTACGAAGTCCTGGTTACTACTTACTGCGAAGCCTGGTTAACGAAGTTTCGAACGAAGCCCTGGTTCAAGAGACACAAACCAATCTAAGAGAATTAAAAAAATCAGATAAATCAGATAAATTGCCGGTCCCGTAGCTCAGTTGGTAGAGCGTTGAACTCCGCGTGGTGAGAGCACGCGTTCCCGGTTACAACAGTCCGGATTCGAAGCGCGACGGGCGCTTGACATTTATGGGCCTCCTGACGGGTATGGTTGCGGTTGGTGGCAGGCCGTAGCCAGGCGAAGTCAGTGAGGGGACCGGCCGTGCGCGGCTTTGTGCGCACGTTAAGCTTTGGACTCTAAATTCTGCCATAGAACTGGAATTGCGCGATCGGAGGGTAGAGGGCAGGGGGGTCACCGCAACAAGCTTCGCTTAGCGGTGGCTCTGTCCTTGTGAATCATTCCTATGAAAAGGTTCGGACTAAATTTATAAAAAAATGAAAAAAAATCAACAAGGGGATGTGCAAGGACCTCTCCATATTAATCGATGAAACTACTATTATGAAGAGGATTCAATACCTATCAAGGTGCATACCTATGGTCCCAACGGCCAACTTCCAACTTAAGTCCCAACATATACTTAGTTAGCTGCTTGTGGTAGTATTATATGCATGAACACCCACCTCTGTAACCAATGTTGTGTAATTTGAGTGATACTTGAAGTCAACACACTTTGATATTTCATTGTTTGGACATCTGTTGAGAAGTGGTGTAGAGCCACCATCTTTTGGATAGCATGAAAATTCTGGTGTAAATGCTGAAAAAGAACACCCATTATCAGTCTTGTATCATTGGCCATGCAATAAAATATTATCAAATGGCACTTCCTAAATAACATTTCAGATATTAAATAACAAGTCCACATTAAAAGCAGAAAACATCAGTCAAGTTAAAGATACACTCAGAAATGGTGAAAGCTAAGAACAAAAATTAAGTGATGATGCAATTCCAACAGCAATGAGAAATCATCTACATACTCACCAGCAAATTCCAGATTTAAATTTATGAATGCAGTGTACAAACTTGATAAACAAATCCCAAAGACATACTTCTTTTGCATGGGACCAAACTCCCCAATATGAGAGTAGATCTCATCAACATCCATGTCAATACTTTGAAGCTTTCTTCACCCTCAAAACTGCTCCCAAAACCTGCAAATTGTCACATCTGTAATGCCAAAAATGTCTCATTACATTTCACATGAAATGGATATGTAGATACAAACTGCATACCAAACTAGGTACCTACAATGTGTTTGTGCATAATGTTAGACTCAATGGAAGACACTAAATTCCATCTTTCTACACTGCCAACCACAAGTGAAGATCTTCCTTAGAGCTAAGGAGCCAGCTGTCCTTAGAGTAAGGAGCCAGAGTGCCAGCTGTCCGCTCTGACAGCTGGCATGTCTATGATCCAGGGGTCCCTGCATTTCCTTTTTTCCTTCCAACTCCCTTTCTTGACACTGATAACCCAACCAGATCAGTTAACTAGGTGAGTAGCCCTGAGTCCAGCTTATCCATGTTTTGAGGCAGGAGAATGAGAATGGCAAGAAGTAAAACAAGACATTACAAGACATTACATTCAATCCAATTGATGGAGCTGACTGCAGAAGTCTGGTAAGTGGTTGATGCCTGATATTTGGAGACAGCTTTATCAGCAGTCTTAAAGGGTGGTCGTTTGGGAGAGGGGTGCCCTCAGGGCTTGTAACAGAGCACGCGTCACTGAATTTCTAAAAAATAATAAATTGAAAAAATAATTCCTTACAGAGCCTCTGCCTCATAATTCACATGCTACAGGAATTCAAAATAACCTTATCAAAAAGTGCCACAACTTGTGTTGCAATCTCCAGATACATGCCCTTAGGCCACACTGTGCCTTGAATGCAGCCACCGTCAACGGGTCAAGCCACCGTCATAAAGCAGGTGTCATTGTTTATAACCTATGTTCCGCAGTTCAACTTTGACTTTACTTCAGATTGTGTACATGCATGTCAGACATTAGAAAATAGGTATCAACTGTCGTCTGTCCATAGCCTAAATATGTGAAAATGATATAATATCTAATTCTATCCATCAGGTTCACGTTCAATTTTTTAATGAGAAGAAGTTCGTATATGTCATCTCAAGCTTGATTTTATAGCCTTCATAAACTTTATAAACTTGCCTACGATCTTTATAAACATGCCAAAAATTCATAGATTGAGATATGGACGCAATTGGACGCACAACAAAAATATACGCCAGCCGCGCTGGCTGTATTTTGAAGCTGTTGCGCCATAACCCAAACAACTCGGCGCTTCCATATTACTACCATATCAGAGGTATCGTGGCAAAGTAGATGCGGCCTTGGATGCTGCATTCGTGCGCATGCATTCTTACTTTTTCGACCCCTGCATTATCACTTTTGTTACCCTGTGCCTGAAATGAAACCAAAACACATAATGACATAAGCCACTGTCCTTCTGGAGTTCCCTTAACAAATCTAACCTGTTCGAGGTCTTATCTATGGTTTTTAATTAATTTCAGTGTCAATCGGTTTAAGTGTATAGTTTTTCAATCAAAAAAAATATTTTTATCTTTGTCAAAAATTCTACACGACTAAATAAAGCAAGCAATGATCACAAAAAACGATATCTCTGAAACGAAATATCTGGTTTACTTTCCAAAAGTTGGATAACACTTGAATTAGTAGCCGTGTATTTCCATTGTTTCATACATATCTGGCGATCCCGTTTCAATTCTACGTTCGCTCGGCGGGCCCGCACTTTGCACTGTGTGGACTGTGTGGTTAGGGCTCTTTAATATTAATTTATTTTTATACTAGTGTTAGGGATAGCATAGCATTGACCTCTGATAGTAACCTGTCAATGGGGGATAGTGTGTTTCACGGGACACCTGCCTATGTTTTGAATAGGTACCTACATTTCTTGTTCTTGTTTGCTGCTTCTTTTTGCAAACGTAACAATTTGTCAATTTGAATTACCCCTTTGCATTTCAATTTAAATTCGTGTCTCAGTTTTATTCTAGGCAGTAGGTACCTATCACCTATGTCCAATTAACATGAGTTTCTGTATAGAATGATGTCTATATTATAGGGATTAACTAATTTTGAAGCATGGACCTCCATGTCAGTAGGCGGAACTATGGTCATGAGTACCCAAATATAGGAACGTTCCCATTTTTGGGAACGGAGTTCCCAAATATGGGAACGGGCGTTCCCATTTATGAGAACGGAAGGCAATTTTTCGGCCGTTCGCCCACTAAAACTCAAAAGTGCATCACGTCTCAAAAAAGTGCACGCTGATTTAAGTATCTACTAAATCTCCATAAAGTTATCTTTAATCTGACCGTGGAACAAGGAAATTGACCGTGGAATGATATTTTTAATGATTTTTTAAAAATGACAGAATGGTGGAAATATGGGTTATACGACATTTAACATGCAATTTTAAGGAAAATGAAGCATTTTTTACATTTTGAGGTCAAGTATAATAATTTTCGCCTGGTTATGAAGTTTCATTCTAGCGACACCAGATGCTGACATATGCAAGCGAACACGCGGACAGTCCCGAGGTAATATTGTTGACTTTTGGTGTCGGGGCGATCGACCGCGTGAAACGTCAGTGATTTTACCGAACTACTGTTGTAAACTCAGTTTCAGTGGTTTAAAATCATTCAGCTGTATTTTATCAGCCCTGAAAGACATATTTTATTTGGATGCTAGCTGTTTAGCGTTGTTTTATAAGCAGCGTCATGAGCGTGGTTTTTGTCTTCGGCGTTTCTAAGCATGATCGTTTGGGGGGAATTTCTCTGATATAGGTCGCTCTGTGTGGCTTATTTATAATTTTTATGCTGATTTCGATCATTCCTCGTGCCCATCCTACCAGGCCTTTTGCCACTTACACTCATTAAGAAAGGAAAAAACTAGATTTTCATTGGGACTAGGTGTTTTGAGGGTGTAACATATTCAGCGTTCCCATTTTTGGATACTTCTTGTGCTCGTCAACTCTCGGTGATTAGCAGACAGGTGCTTGACATGTCTCCACCCTCGGCACGGACGGTGGATATAGGTATGGAAGACCTTGCTGAACATCGCTGAGCGTTGTGGATTACGTAATCCTGCAGAGGGGGGCGTGCCCGCTGCGAGATCGACGGGAATAAAAGCGCAGAAGACCGGGCGAAACATGCAACGGTCTTGCCGGAAAGGTCATCTGATGATTGTTGCGTTAACAATAATTTGCGGCGTTGGACGTGATGCTTGTTAATGAAAAGAGCCCCTGAAAGGCGTCGGTGAAATCGTTCCCAATTTTGGGTACGCCGTTCCCATAATAAGGAACGCTTGCAGCGCCAGTGTACGAGAGCGTTCCCAAATTTGGGCTCGCGGCCCGGGTGATGGACTGCTTTAGAAATAGGGGAACGATTTGAAACTACGATGGGCCTTACAATATCAAACTCTTTCCCAACAATATTGAGACAACTATCAGGCGGTTCACGATCGTTTTATATTTTTTTGGACGTCATTTAACGGTTCTTTTTCTTGTTTTAAATAATGCCTACATGGCGTTCCCATATTTGGGTTTATCGTTCCCAATTATGGGAACGAAAATGCGTTCCCGAAAATGGGTACGCTTCACCATAGTTCCGCCTACTGATGTGTATGACCAAAGTCCATGATCTACGCTCTGAAACGCCGCAGAGTAGTCGGTATATATTGATATGCAATCGAGTTGCATTTTTGTTCTCTATGGCCTCCCACCCTGCATGCTGCAAATTTGACGAGTTGCTGTCACATGACGATGACCGTTTTGGCATGAAACCATGCTGTTTCTGGGATAAAACCAGGCGAATATGAGCTAAAATATACTGGGATGCAGCTTTCTCCAGAACCTTACTGAACATATGTTGCACTGGGACAGTGTAGCATTGTGCAAAAAATGTGAGAATTCAAAATGAAACCCGTATGCATTGAATCTCTTAAACATCAGCATTATTACAATAAATTATGTCATCCCATTCTATGTCTGATGACAAGAACAAGAATGTGACATGTGTGTGAACTAAATAGAACTATTTGTAATCCCATTCATTCAGTAGCTCTCTACCTTTAAGGTTGGGTGAGTTTCAAATTCATCAACATGAATGCTTTTGCTTTGAAGAATGCCCTGTTTTCAGTTAACAATGTTGGGAGCTAAAGCTTTGGAGCTCATAAGAGAATTGAAGAGGACACCTGACAGCCTGCCACCATACAATGTGAGTGTTGGATGGTGTTGCACAATGATATTGGTGGCCAAATAATTGCTTTCTACCTACCTACCTATTCAGTACTTAGTGCTGTGTTGACTTTTTGCACCTGGTCACATTTTTGTGTGTCTAGAAAGTGAGATGTTCTCAGAATTGGTATTTTGTGGGAATGTAGGTAACTATATTCTAACCAGCCGCCAGTACCTATGCCTACATGTAGTGGTATATTTTAGGTAAACATTCATACTGCGTTAAGTTTTATGATAGGGTCACAAAAACTCTGTGAGCACTTTATCATTGCTAATTTAGGTCCTTTTAAGACATTGCCACTGGCTAGTTGCACCATCCCACAAGTCATGCTTTGTGGTGGTGCTATGTCATTGCTGATGTAAATCGTCTCCTTCATTTCCCTCAGGACGCCACTGTGCGCCAGGTGCTGCAGGAGGTTCGCACACTGTTCGAGGCCAACCGGCGCGACGTGTGAGTAATATACCAGCTCCTCTGGATAGCTGAGCTACCTGCAGCCTCAAGCTTGCCATGTCTTCACCTGCTGGATTATCATTGATATTCATACGGCCAGGGTTGTATACGACTCAATCAATAGCAATCAATTCAGTCACAACAAATTTGGGAAACCAATCAAATCAATCAAGTCAGAGCAGTTTTCGGGAATTGATTCAATCGACTCAAACGCGACAATGAAAGGAATCAATCAACTCAATCAAACGACTCAAACCAAGACATACATTAGGTTTTTTGCCCCACCAACTTGGAAAAGTGTCCATAGCAGTCTGGTGTACCTACCTACCTACCTACAGAAGAAACATAAAAATATTGTCATTTAAAATTATAAATTGCCATGCCATTCAAAGTTTCTATGTAATAAGGAAGGATACCTAGTGATGGACAGGTGGATCATGCAATATTGAGGTTCAATGGGTAGAATTGGAGCAGAAGTTTCATTTAATGGGTGCAAAAAAAAAACAGCAGTTGACTCGCCCCTTAACCCGCGCCCTGCTGGGGGGGGGGTGTTTGAACACCCCCCCTTGTGGTTTTTCGCGAATATCTCAAAAACGGCGGCGCGGAGCGCCGCCGTTTTTGGTATACCTTATCATACATCAATTCTACACATGTTGTGAAAATTTCAGACCAAGGTCATTCAAGGTCAGGTCACCAGGTCACTTGAAGTGACCTCACCTCATAAAAAGTTTCAATGTCTGTCATAGCTACACCGAGTGACCGATCGCTTTGAAACTTTCAGCGATTGATAAGAGTAGCAGTATCTATAAAATGTATATCTCGGAATTTTGATATCGGTGACCTAAGGTCAGGTCAATTTTGCGACCTCCCCATTATAAGTCAATGGGAGAAAATTGAAATGCGCCTCTTTTGGAAGAAAGACATTATAAACACTCCCAAACACTGAATTACAAGTGGTTTAGACACACTGAACATGAAAATGGTGTCCGTGACCCTTGTTTATGCCCTGAGGTCATCTTAGGTCACGAATTGTATCTAACAGTTTTTCGCAAATAACTTTTGATAGAGGCATGCTAGAGCGATGAAAACGCCTTAGATGTGTTCAGCTCGACGATACGGATCGACTGATATGCAACATGACCCTTTCCGGTCAGGTCATGACCTTGACCTGAGGTCAAATTTTCAAGTTGACCTTTCAAGGTCAAGTTATAGTTCATTCGATGCGTCTTGACGAGAGGAACACGATGCCGGTAAAAGTAAGCTCGTACAAGGCTTGGGTCAAAAGTTATTGCCGAAAAACTGTTTCCGAAAAAATCGGCTATTTTTGCAGTTTTTGCCCCCTGCAGGCAAAACCGTTGACGTTAGGTCAAATCTGAGAGGATTACTCAGAAAGGGCGTTAATAGGGCTATCGAATGCGCTTTTCCGCGGCGCTGTAGCTCTATTGGTTCCCGAGTTATGCGTTGGCTTCTTGGAAATTTTCGATATTCGACCTGGAAATCGGC